ACTTTTGTGTCCTGGGTGCAAAATCACAAGGAAGTATCTATATTTAGTACATATGCAGCAAAGAAGAGGAAGTAATTATTTGGGCAAATAGGAAAGGGGATAGTGCTACTACATTTTGAATAAATTGAGTATAATCCCCTCCCCAAAGAAACTGGGTGGGATTCAGCTATATAAAATCTTATGATGATCAAGCTGAGAAGACTGGTATTTCCCAAATTTTTAGGTTGCTTTCTCCCTCTTGTGGACCTAGGACAAGCTCTGCAGACATATCCATTTATTTGACTCCATTGATGTTTCTGCTCAGAAATCCCTGAAGAATCTCTATGTAAGTTTGTTGGCCTACAAAGTCTGAAGAGGCTTCAGAGTGCTTCAGACTCCACTTGCTCACTCTCAGAATTCTAATGAGGGTTCTAACTCTAACCTTTGACATTTTGGGCCAAATTTTATGCTATCACTGTAAACATGTTCCCAATCTTCATCAACTATAACAGGAAGGTAAAGATCAGAAGACACCAGTTCTCACAACACACTCAGTCTTACTTGAATACCTCAAGTCCAAGGTCTTTACCTATCTCGAGAAGGAGTGCAGAAACATTTCAATTAGGAAAGATTAAGTCCAATTTTGAGTTACACTTTGTTGGGATCTTAACAGTGAACTTCCCTAACTGGAATCACTTTAAAAGGACTAATCAATTCCATTTTATGGACAAATAACCAAAAGAGCATTTCTCCTGTTTCCCTAAAAATACTGTGCTGGTTACAGTTCTACCCAGAGAAAACAGTCTATCAGACCTCCAATCTCTTACAAATTGCCTGAAGACAAAAAGCCCTCTAAGTTAAGACCTATAGGAGCAGCAGAGGTTTGCATGGAGAAAACTACTGCATAAAAGTACTAATTTCAAATGAAGTGAAGAAAAGGGCACCCTCTTTAGGATCCAGGGTTTCAATTTGACCTTTGCTATATGCACCTCTCTCTGTATCTGAGGTTTCTCATCTATTTTTTTTAAAGAGAAGAGAGAGAGAGAGAGAGACTGAACTAAGTAAACGCTAGGTTTTCTCCACTTTGAAGATGTCATTTAAAAAAGTTTCTCTTTTTCCTAATACCAACCTTTCAAAGCTACAAGGGACTCCTGCTTTTAGGAGTTACAATATGTTGATCTTTTTCTGCTAGGTCCTGGGATATCAAACCCTAAAAAGAAGTTTCTCGTGGTAAAGCAGAGTCTGCCAGCCAAGTTAAAAATTGTCAGCTGGAATCAGACTACACAGACAGCTCACCCTCCATTGCCCACAGGCAAAAGGAGACAAACTGTGTTCTGATTACTACCCCTAGGCAACACAGAGCTATACGGAAATACTCACTTGTGCTTAATATGCTATTTGCAAACACTAGTAATTATATCAGCAGTACCAGGTATCAAAACATGCCTCCTTAGTCTATCTCCCACAACAAGGCCAATAAAACAAACCCTCTCCCTAAGAGTAGACTACACGTACACTAATGACACCTTTTCTTCCCTGCCAGTCTAGCACTGTGGCGGCAACAGCCCAATAGTGACACCTGCTGGGCAAATCTAAGCAAGAGCTGGCTCACAGGCAAGAAACAGGGGCCTTAGAAGGTAGAAGATGGGGACTAGCACCTGTCTGTATTAGCAACTTACACTAGGATATGGTGATGGGCCTTCTTTAAAGGGTATGTATTGTGAATATTTTACAACATACCTCATTTTTGAAAGGTCTGTCATTTCTCACAGTATACCACATCCTAACTGATCTGAAAGTGACTCCATAAATAATTATTTTAACATACCACTTTACAATGAAACATATGTAATTTGTATATTTTTTTAAAAGATTTATTTATTTATACAAGAACTGGGGTACAGGTCAGAGGCGCGGGAGGGTGAGAGAATTCAGAGAAAGAGGGGAGCAGAACAGGCAGATGGACGGAAGACACTGCTGAGGGGAGCACTGGGTGAGACAGGAAAGGTCTGCCACGCCACGTGGGAATCTCCCTGGCTGGCCAGGAATTAAACCCATGCTGCAAAGGCTGAGGACAGCTTCACAGCACAGCGCTCAACCAGCTGTGCCACCGGGGAGGCCCGTTTGTATATTTTAAAAGAAAAAAAAACACATAAAATTTTACATCTAGATGACAAGGGACTTCATTTTCTACAATACACATCTTTAAATGTTTGCACTTTAAATTAGAAACACATACTTTTGGTCTATAATTTTTTGGTAGAATCTTTAATAATTTCTGGGTTTTAAATGGTCTACTTTATTAAGAAGTGACTACATCTAAATTAACTAAAACTAAAAAAAAATTAAAACTTTCTCAGATCACACTAGCTACATTTCAAATACTTAATCCCCTTGTGGCTAGAGGCTACTTTACAGGATAGGATACAGAACATTTCTATCACTGCTTTAGAAAAACATACTGGAGTATTTCAGATGAAATGATATGATGGCTGGATGGTAAGAGTGGATAAGGGATAGAGACAAAAGGCAGCTGGCTACATAAATGCTGATAACCTTTGAAGTCAGGTGATATAAGAGTCCTTTATCATCCTTTTCATTTTTATATGCTTGAAGATGACCATAATAAAAAGTTTAAAGAAGAACAATAAATGCAAATGGTTCACCTAAAAAACAAGGTTATTGCATTGAGAAATACACCATGGACAGTGGCTTGCAAAAATCTTTAGTCCTGCAGGAACAGTTAAAATACCCAATCAGTAACCTACTATGGAACCTTTGACAAGAAAACATCTGAGTCTCACTTTCCTTAACTGTTAAAATGGGAAATTGTGTGCCTCCTGGTAGCACAGGGGTTAAAGTCTCAGTGATACCAAGCTATTGCCAGCCACTGCAGCATGAATTCTATCCCCAGCCAAGGAGCTAACTAACCCACAGGGCGCAGCAGACCTCTCCTGTTTCGCCCATTACTTCCCTCAGCAGTGTATTTCAGTAGATTCGCTTGTTCTACTCCCCACTCTGTCTCTGGTGAATCCTCTCGCCGCCCCCTCTCCCCCACCAACCTGCACCTCTGGCCTACACCCCAGTTCTTGTATGCATAAATAAATAAATCTTTAAAAAAAAATAAAATGGGAAATTGTGCCTTGCATGGAAATAAATAATGCAAAGCAAGAACATGGTTATTGACATATAACAGGCCCTCAATAGTTGTTACCTGTAATTATTATCAAAAAGAATTTATTTTAAACCACTCAGGTGTCTCAGAATAGCACACAGGAAGTATTGCTAGAACTGGATGGACAAAAGCTAACCTGAAGTCCACTGATACTATGGAAACAGGCACTGGTACGCTTCTAGAGTAGTAATTGATGACAATCCTTTTATGGCTGCTTTTAAAAAACTTTGAATGCCTACTGCACGTTAGGCTCTGTGCTTGCTGCCTTCTCACCGCTCTTGACAAAGAGGCAGAACAGAGTCCCAGGCTTCTGAGGTGGGCTTTCTAGGAGGCAAAATATTCCAAGGCCAGGACTTTAGGAGATGTTAATCCAGAACTGGGTTCAATCACACGGGCAAAGTTAACAACCTACAGTACACTTCTATCTTTCACCTCCAACCAAGTTCTCCTCCATTCTCCTCAGCAACTGCCTACTAGCTCACATCCATCCTGCCCTTTCTCCCTCAGTATGTGCTCTTCTCCTAAAATAAAAAGTTCTCCCCTCTCTCTCTCCAAAGACTCATCTTTCAAGACTTAATTTTGCAAAGCCTTCTTTGATACTTCCCTTTCTCTAAAATTAGATTTCATTTTCTCAGTACCATACAAGGAAGCATTTGGTCATCTACATTTTTGACATAATTTCATGTAAATAAGCCTTGTCTCTACAATAACAGTATCTTCCCAGTGGGTAAAGACCAGGTACCATGCTTATTCTTTATTCCTCACAGTGCCTAGGGCAGTGCTGGAAAAATTATAACCATTCAACAAATATTTATTAACTGGGTAACTCTCTAAAGCATCCTCCCAAAATAACAAGTACATTATGTGCACAATCCATATTCCCACCCTTGTTAGAAGCTTATGTCAGAGAAATTTCAGTTGCTTCAGCAGAGGATGTAATGCAAAGCAATATGCTGTTTGGATCCAACAGGCATATTCTGGGAGTTGGTGATTACGCTAGATTTGACCTTTACAAAATTACAGAAAGAAGTCCCTAATAAATCAAGATAGATGCGCACACAGCCATACATGGAACATGTGGTGGGCGATTAGCTACACCCACTCTGTTGCTTCCATGAAAGAGTTGCCTGGTATGCCAATCCGTGTATGGAGAGGCCTTCCTTCTATGAATTCTTCTTCTCCACCCCAGGGTGAAAGTCCATCTGGAAGATTCACTCAAAGAATCTTCATGTAGCAAATAACTTGCTGTCCAAAATTACATGTCTTAAAAAAAAAAAAAGGACTTTCTTTGATACACATACATATATATATGTACTTTTTTGCTTTTCCCTTTGTCAAGCCACAATGTCATAAAACATAAGGTTTAAGAGGTGAACATAGTCATAGTTGTTCAAAGCAACACAATCAAAGAAGAATCATACTAATCTGTTCCAAGAAGGGTCCTCTTTCACTACTTATTTTGAGGCACTCTGGGATATTTTCATGTTTCACAATAAGGCCTGTACATACCAATCCTTCCAAGAGGTCAAAAAGCAGGACAGAGGAAGTCAGTAGCTCTACCTCCTCATGCCTCTCTAATCTAATGTACATTCTTCTTTAAGGTTAAAGGTCCCATGAGCTAACCAGAAAAGGAACTAGCAGAGCCAAAACTCACACTCTTAACCCTATTCCGTCTCTGCCACCAGAACAAGATTTTCCAAGAAGATGCGACCAAAATTAGGGAGGTCAGAACCAGATGTATGGGTCCCAGAGATTCCAGATACAGCCTCAGCATTGATAGGTTTGAAGGGAAAGATTTAAGGAGAAAAGTAAGGGTGCAGGAGAAGACAGGAAAACTCCTGCTTACCTCCTGAGTGAATCTTCCTCAGAGCTGTCCTCAGGCATATCCTGATGTAAGGCCTCCTGTGATATAGTTCCAGATCTGCTGGACTGGGTGTAAATTCTTTCCCAGTGGCCTGTCTCCTGGTTGAAGGCCACCCCCACAGTCCTCTCCTCCTGCGGACTAGCAGAGCTGCTCAGCTCCAGCCTGCTGGAGCCGGGTGTTTGGCCCTCAGTCCGCTCAAGAGGTGGCAATTGACTGCCACTTGATGGCATGCCCTCAAAGGTACTGGGCACTTGCCAGGAGGAGCTGGCCTCACCAGAGGAGTAGTTAGGTGTGGTTCTTTCCCAGCGCAGGGTATCATTGTTGAAAGTCAGCAGATTGTGGCAAGCACGGCAACGGTTCAGGTGGCCACGCGACAGGTTAGAATTGTTCTCACTGCTGTGTGGGGTGGGTTGGTGGGAAGGGCCTGGCCTCTCAGATTCAATGTTATTGTTGAGCATTTCCTGGGCCTGCTGGGTCTGGGGGGCCTCCCCACTCAGACTCTGGTCCAGTTCCTGAAGTCGGTCATACTCCAAAAAGAAGCGCCTTAGGTCACATTGAAGCTCATGGCGAATGCTGCCTGAGTTGTTTTGGCTGGAACTATTCCCTCCATCTGACTCAGCCACCAACCCTGAAGTTGGAAAACCTCTCCCTTCTGTGGCTGAAGTGTACACAGATGCTTGAGAGCCACCTTCCTGCTGTCTTAGCACAGACAGCAGACTCACCGAAGAGGCACTGGTCCTGGGTGGGGGCATGGATTCTGCCTCAGAGCGGGAGTTCAGACTGAGCACTGTCCGGGTCCACTCAGATCCTGTCAGTCCAGGAGCTATTTCTCGGTGATATCTAGAAGGGTGGCTAGACAGAGGGCCTCCCAAAGAGCGGCGGGTGGGACCTAGACTGAGGTTGCGGAGCGTGTTGCCGGCAGTGCTGCTCTGGACTGTACTGAAGGCAGACGGCCGGTTCAGGAGGCCCTGGTCCTGCTGCGTTGATGAGGCCTGCTCCGGGGGATGGAAGGGCTCGGTCTGTACAAAAGAAAAGGAAGGGGTAGTAGCCCTGGCAGAAGCAGGGGGGACACTGTCCTGGTGTGGCAAGAGGGAAGGAACTCGAGTGCCAGAGCAGCGGCTGCAAAGGCACAGGATCCCAAGGTGCTGGCAGCACTCAGCTGTGGGGTAACTGACCCGCTGTCGGAGCCTGATGTAAGCGGAAGTCCTGGGGCGCTCCGTGGAGGGCTGAGGGGGAGGCGGTGGGGTGAGGGGGTAGCAGAATCTTGCACTGTGCTTTGCTCTCCCACCTGGATGCCAGAGGAGCGGGAGGACAGCATGTGCAGGAAATTGTGAAGAAGAGGCGTCCGGCGAACTGGCTGTGATTGCAGGAGGGCACGCTGACGGTAGTGGGATAATTCTGTTCCATCTATGGGGATCTCTGGTTCGTCATCACCCTGTAACGTGGACCAAGGTGAAGCAGGGAGCAAGGCAGTTAAGTAGAAACTCCAGGTAAATCAAGACAAACTAACTTCTTATAATCATCCAAGGAAAACAACCTATAGAGATAGGTAATAACTACCTACCCGTGAAGCACTGAAAACTGGCTAGATTCAGAATCATCATATGGTATTAAATTATTCACTTCCTGGCGCGCAAACCTCTCCTGCCACCCGCTGCTCCCCTCAGCAGTGTACTTCGTCAGTCTGGCTGTTCTGCTCTCCGCTCTGGCTCTGGTAAATTCTCTCACCCCCCGCCCCCCCGCTTCTGACTGTACCCCAGTGCTTGTATAAATAAATAAAATAAAATCTTAAAAAAAAAAAACACAGCAAAAGAAAAATCATAATCTTTAAAAAAAAAAAATTATTCACTTCCAATTAGCAGCATTTCTGAATGTGTACAGCTGGCAAACCAATTCTCTTAGAAACGGCATCTCCACAACATGAAGCCAGTGAGGGGAAGCAAAATGTCAACCAGCCAGAGGCACACGGAATGACAAGCTATCCACCATTCCCTGGTTACTTCTAATGAGATCATCACTGGGGGCTGGGTGTGAGGGAAGGTTCAAAATTAACTGCCCTGTCAAGATTATTGCTGGAACTCCGAATACAGTCTGAAGTCAGTTTTAAATCTTGACTGGAAAGAAATACTTGGGCATTGAGAATTAAAGTGCAATATAATCTGAATTAAAGCACCAGTTTAGAAAAGAACTCACAGTTTAGGTGGAGTTGAACTGCTGGCTAACTTACCTGCTGATTGGAGGGGTTAACAATTGCTGTGAGTAAGTAGTGTCCAAGAGGATCAAATCTCACCAGACTGTAAACAAAGAAGAGACAAGGAAACATATAGAGAAATTATGTTAACTGAGAAGAGGAAACCTGTGTTAAAATTTATAGCAATCGTTACTAGTAATTGTGAGATTACTCAGGTACTCACTCATGCTAGAGCCTTTCAAACTTTCAGAGATTAAAATAACAAGGCTCCATAATTCTTATTACCTCCTTACCTCCAACTGCCAGAACAAGGGAATATGTATCAGAAATACAGTAATGTCAAAAAACACCTAAACTTCCACTCCAGGAAGCAGCTACATTTAAGCAAATCTCTGCTCACCTCAAGGAGCCCATCCTAACAGGGAAGCACAGGACGTGCCCATACTCTCCACAGGTTAGATACTCTGTCACGTAAGTGGCTGCACTAGCAAGAAGCATGAGTTCTAGTGACAGCAAATGGTCTCAGCATCAAGTGATACTGAGTGAGACTAGAAAATTTACTTATATCCAACTACAAGACCAAGAGTTGATAACGCACTGACTGAAATTCAGGCAAGGTGTGTTTTGGATCTTGCCAGCTAGGTAAGTATCAATTAGCCAGTCTGATACATACTTACCTCTCCATCTTCTAGTTTGTTAAATACAGACAACCAGGGATGAGCAATCATCTACCAAGTTATTTAAAATACCACCTGAACACCTTTCAGGTTTCCCAAAAGTGTTCTATTCCAGACCCAGATAGCTTTGAACCCAAAAAAGGTTCTAATAACCCTGACTTACAGAGAACAAAGATGAGGTCAGTAAGGAACAGCTAAAATAAACACAATGAACTGTTTCCCAGCTGACTGCTCAGCTATTTAAAAAGTAGAAAAAGCCTTAGAGGCAACCACCTATCCTGGGCAGGATAACAATCTATCTCCTGAGGTGACAGCAGGTGTAAGTGTCCTCAGATGTTAGTCCTACGCCAGATATGACTGTTGAGCAGAGCACTCACCGGACCCGTTCCATCTCACTAGCTGTCTTCACCACAGCAAAGGGCTCCCGCCGACTCCAATCCCAGAAGTGGATCTCGTTGGCAGTGGCAATCAGCAGGAGCTGAGCCGTAGGGTGGAAAGCCAGAGAAGCAATGGCATTGTTGCTATCTGTGAACCAGCTTTCACTGCCACCCTACAAATGAACCAATCCCAAATATTCTCCAGTTACAAGCTGCCAGAAGGCTGGGATGTCAATTTTAAGGGAAACTGACTTCTTGTAGGGCATACTTAAATAAGTCCTCTGTAAAGTGATGCTGAAAATCAGTGATCTGCATGAATCACCAATTCATAGGAAAAATATTACTGTCAGCTAATTCTCCAAGTCATCTACAACTCATAAGCAATGAGCATCTATCTGCACAGTTCCTGTTGCTGAAGCCTGTGAAGCCTCACAAGTGGTGCATGACATGGTGCAGTGCACAACAACCCACTAGCCAGTCACCAGTTCCAGAAGCATCATGCTTAGAGGATAATATAGTCCTTGCTCTAAGAGAACAGAACCCCATTCTGAACATATCTGAGAGCCTCCTGTACTCTGTCACAATGTGCAGGTGGAGGATAGTTCAACAGGGTGCTCCTCTTAAAATAAAGGACTGCTGGCTAGATTTCCTATCAGTTCAGTGGGCAAAGACTACCATTACCCAGATGTAGTCCTATGAACCTGACTAGTCTCTCCTTCAGAGTTAAGAAGGCATTGATAAACAAGTCTCTGCTTCTGAATACCAAGAAAAAAAAATACTTACATGTAAATCCCAAATCCTAACCTCTCCATCTAGGCAGCCAGAAGCAATAAGGCCTGAGATGGTGGGATGAAAAGTGACACACCATGGAGTACGGCGGTGTCCAATCAAAGAATGAACACACTTGCCAGTCTTCACCTCCGTGATATAGATATTATGATTCACATGCGTGGAGGCCAAGAGAGTCCTATGGAATCAAAGGGTATGAAGTGACTATGAAGCATGTGAGAGGATAACATACTTATTCCGTTTTTCACGACATAGAAAATTGATTCCCCATCCCAGCATGAAAGAAACTATACCTTGGGTATTAGGCAGCATATCTACAAGCCACTAAAAGCTATTGGATTCTCCACTCTATCCCCCATATCACCTTCAGAGATTTATTTTTTCCAGCTGGAAAAACTATCACACCACTGATGGCCTATATTACACAGGTAAACGATTATTATTTAAAAACTGTAAGTTTTAGGGCCTCCCTGGTGACCTAGGGGTTAAGTCTCTCGCTATCACTGCTATAGCTTGAGTTCAATCCCCGGCCAGGGAGCTAACCCACATGGTGCAGCAGACCTCTCCTGTCTCGCCTGCTGCTCCCTTCAGCAGTATATTTCAGTAGATCTGCCTGTTCTGCTCCCCATTCTGTCTCTGGTAAATCCTCTCACCCCCACACCTCTACACCCCAGTTCTTCTTAAAAAAAAAAACTACAAGTTTTGATCTTCAATGTTCATAATTTCCTTTACTTATTCCCATTAGTTCTCTCCTTTTTTGAAACACTGACAAAGTTCACACATGGTGACTTAGAGTCTTTAGGGATCTAACTACAAGATTAAGCTAGGCCTAATTACAGAAAGTAATGTTGTCACAAGTCTTAGGTCAAGTTATATATGAGTAGTAGGTACCTGTCTGGGCTGAAGGCCAGTAAAAAGGTAGATCGTGGACTATCCGGCAGTTCTACTCTCTAGCAGGAAAAGAAAATAGTTAAATACATTATTTATAAACTATGGTTCAAAAGATCTCTCAAAAGATATAAACTATTCTGGATTAGTATTCACAGTGTAAGCTTAAAAATTGGAGACAATGACTAACTTACAACTTGAGAGAGACAAATCTAAATTACCTTTAGGAAAAAGATACCTCTAGCCCATAAATTCTTCCACATTTATGAAGTATTTCCCAAGTTAGATTTATCTTGTCCTACACAAAGTAAGTTACATGCCAAATTCTATGTCATTAACCCATTCTGAGACCCATTCTACTATAACCCCTACAAATCCTATGTCAAAAGAAAAAACAAAACATTTTTCTTTTTTTTATTTTTTAATTATTGTTCATTTTAAAACAATATTTGCATCCCTACCACCACCTAGGTGTAGTCCCCATTGAATTTCCTTCACCAATGCACCCGTGCACCATCACCACAGTCCCCTATGCTCCTCCCGCCCTTCTTCTAAACCCTCTGCCTCCTCCTCCCCTGCAGGATGTCTCTGATTTTTAATTGTTTGTTTTAAACAAAACATTTTTCTTACCTTGCCCTCCCATTTCATCCACCGGGTTTTATCTTCCACCAACTCCTGCAGAAGACGCTGAGCTCCAAAGGCCCGAGTGCCCCTTTCTCGTCCCCAGAGTATCCGGACAGCATTCTTCTCTGGAACAACCTTCATAGTGTTCAGGGGCCACTGTCACACCAGTCACAGGAAAAGAAGGAGCAAACAATAGCTCCGCACACCAATACAGCTAAACTGAGGCCATTCACGTCCTTGTAAGCTGTCTTCATGGAAATCTAAGGTACAGAGAGTAATATGTCAAAGAATATCTATTCTGCAATTAGAAAAGCTTCTACTGCAAATGTCATTCTAGCTCAAAGAAGAAAGCATTCTTTCCATATTTAATGATATTTTCTCAGAAAAGACCCTTCTTCCAAAACTCTCACATCCTCCATAGCTCAGCTTCGTATGAAAAAACAGACCACTCTCTAAAGCGATCATTCTATTACTGTTGCTTTACCAGGCAGAAGAACTTCTGCTACTAAAAGAAAGCTCTAAACAACTTGTCAGAAATAAAGCAAAATGCCTACCTTCCCCCTTCTGTGCTACATGGCCTCCCTAGTTGCTGGCACCCCTCATTTTCACTTAAGCAGCCTCCAAACTGAAGGACAGGTAACCACTTAAAATGTTCTTACTAGAGGTATGACTCTTATACAGCAGCTTCAATTCTACATCCTACCTAAAGTAAGTGCCTAAGAACTTTAGGGCCACATTCCAATACTCTTTTTCCATTCCAGAGGGGAGGAAAGAGAAAGGGGGGGAAATTCAGGTCCTTTTTCTTATCCACCCAAGCCTTAAGAGAATAAAATTATATCCCAAAATAAACAAAAATTCTACTGAAACATTAGCTAGCAGTAAAATACAAATAGAATTGCAGCTCCTCTATACAATGGGATATGTGGCTTAATAAAATGTTTAAGAGAATATGTATGTAAATGTTGTAAATTTCAGCATAGTTTCTTCAACTCAAAGTTGAAAAATACTAAAATAAACATATGGCTTCATTATTCACTACTTGAGACTCAAAAATTACTATATTTGTTAAATTTGCTTTATCTCTGTGGATGAAGATATGGCTATATATAGGTTGTTTTCTGTTTTCTTCTGAGCCATTTCAGTAGACGTCAAGACATTCTAACCCTACAACTTCGCTGTGTACCTCCCAGGAACAGGGACATTCTGCCCAATAACCACAATACCATCATCACACCTACTATTATCTAATACCCAGGCCTTATTCAAATTTCCCCGACTGTTCAAATTTGTTGTGTGTTTTTTTTTTTTAAGATTTATTTTATCTATGCATACAGGAGCTCGGGTGTAGGTATGGGGGGGTTAGAGGATTCACCAGAGATGGAGTGGGGAGCAGAACAGGCAGATCTACTGAAATACACTGCTGAGGGGAGTAGTGGGTGAGACAGGAGAGGTCTGTTGCTCCCCCACCTCCTTGGCTGGGGGTCAAACTTATGCCATGTGGGTCAGTTCCTTGGCTAGGGGTCGAACTTATGCCACAGGGATAGCTTCATAGTGCTGAAACTTAACCCCTTGCGCCACCAGGGGGGCCTCCCAAAATTATCTTTAATCGTTGGCTTTTAAAAAAATCCAAACGAGGGTCAAGCAATGAATTTGCATGTTTTATGTTCTTTAGTCTCTCTTATTCCAAAATGGTCTCCAGGTTTTATTTTGATTACTTGTGTTTATATACTTACGATACTAGCTTTTTTAGAAAACATGACAGCTGGCTTATAGAAGGTCTTACATTCTAGTTTTGTTTACTGTTTCCTCAGAGTACCAGTTAGTTGCACCTCTATCTGTATTTCCAAGCAACAGAAGGTTGGATATAAAATCCTGACTAGATTTAGGTGAAATGCTTTTAACAAGAATGCTTTACAGGCCATGCTATGTATCTCGTGATGGCTACATGTGGCAGCACATCAGGAGCACATATCCTCGGACCACTCCTCTTAGTGAGACCTGGTAAATTATATAATCACTTGACAAAATATGATCACTTGACTGAGCTGGTAAAACTCAGAACTCTCCATATAAAGGTATATTTCCAATCTGTACCTAATATTTGGCACTGTGTGAATATTCTGTTCCTCTTCAACCTTTTGCTTAATGGTTTAGTGTTCACTGACTCCTTCTTGAGTTATTTCATTTGGGAGCTGAAAAATGTTGATTTCTAATTTCATCATTATTTCTACGATTGTTTGCTGGCATTTTTCTGAATAGAACTTTCCCTTAATAACTGAGGCAGGGCAATGCTTAATTTTTCCCTTTAATTACTACTTCCATCTTATTGTTTTGTAATAGCAAAAACTGGGGACAACCCAAGTGTCCCTCTTAAAGAGAATACATGACTCATCTATGGTGAGAAAGATTCTCTGGATACTGATAACAAGATGTATTGTTAAGAGGGAAAAAAGCAAGGCATACAGTGATGTTACCGTTTATATAAGTGGAGAAATTACGGTGACGTACTGGGTACTGAAAGGACAAGATGAAAGAAGAAAAAGAAGCAAAACTTCTCCATGTTTTTATGTCACTTTAATTTTGAAATAAGTAAATGTGTTGCCTACTCAAAATTTATTCATTTAAATATTTACTGATGTGAAAAAATATATGCTAAGTTAAAAAAAGCAAAATACAAAATTATATACACAGTATACTCCCAATTATGTTTTAAGATCTTGGGAAAATGATACAAAAGAAACAAAAAAGTATTAACCGTGGTTGTCATCTTTGGGTGGTAGGACTACAAATGACTTAATAATTAGTGAAGGAGTGTTCTTTTCACTTTTCAAATTTAAAAAGTAATAAATGCATACTGTAACAAGTCAAGCAACAATTGGCTCTTTATATGTCATGAAAGGCTGCAATCTGAAAAGATGTATCCAAATACAGAGGGAAGGAAAATATTTATAGCCATTTGTTGAAAATGTGTTTTCTCCCTAGGATATTAAAATGTAAAAAGTCAAAAAGATTCTACAGTTAGACAATACTCCAAGTTCCTAGTCACATGTACAAAACGGCCCTAAGGAGTGACAAAGCCTGCATCCTCATGCCACAGTTCTCACCCCTCATTAGACGGTAATGTAACATGCTGCAGGCCAAATTCCTGAAGATACTAAGAATGAACTAACTGGAAGGAAATAATATCCTTGGTGACCCTGACAACTCATTAAAGTTTTGGATCAAAAGTCTGTTAGTAAAACGGCCACAACTGAACAATTACCAACCAGGAAGTTGCCCAAAATATAGTTCCTTGACCCTTTATTGAATCTGTAGTATTTTTATCTTGTAACTCTTTTACTTAATACAGAGATGTTCAGAAGTAACATGCATTGAGGGCCCCTTGTCCTAACAGCACAACATAAGAGTATGTTCCAAGAAATACATTTAAATTATTTGTAATCTTGTAACACGGGATGGAAACTGTAGCAGCCCAATTCCTAAGAAAAACAACAACAATCTGACCTGCTGACTCCGTGTAACTTAAGAAAGAAGAAAATATAGGTCACAAATATGAAACTGTAAAGCAACCTGAAGTTCCTACAAAGTCAGAAGAGGAAAGAACTGCTACAAATACAAGTTATCCGAAAATGCTAAAAAACTATTTGCTCAGGTTAACAAAGAGCTTGTAGATCAATTCCCCAGAACCTAAACACACTAAAAGTTCAAACAAGAGAAAGTCTGACCGACTCATGGCAAGAAGTCAGAGGGACCAAAACAACTGCACAGTATCTCTTTTGTCTGAAGAAAAATATTTGTTCTGTTTCTTTAAAAAGATAAGGGACTTCTCTCCTGATATACTCTGGGCCAGTCACCTAAAAAGAGACTTTTACTTTGTTCTCTGTAAGGAACAAAAGGAGCGAACCCAAAGTGAAGTCAGACAGGCCTGACACAAAGGAGGAAGTGCCAGTCAAGTGTATTTTTCATTTCTCTTCTTTAAAAGGAAGAAGAAACAAGTTTCCCACTCTGCCCTAAAAGACTGAGACAAAGGGTGCCAAGAATAGTCTTTGTGATGCCATTACACAGTCCCCTGAATCAATTCTCGACCACCAAAAGTTTTACACAAGTAGAACCACAAGGACACAATTGGAACATACGCACAACAACACTGGCAAGATTCTGCCCATTTGCACCCCCTCTCCCCATAATATGACTGATCACTCTAAAAATATGGGAAGATAATCATGTTTAAAGATTTTCTCTGCTAAACTCTGAGCTATAATTATACTTAACAACTACTAATAAAAATCACCCAGAGAGTACACCATCACCCAGTGGGAACTACAAGTTAGATTTACAGATTCCCTTGTAATTTGATCATCTTCTACCCCCAAGTGTACTCTAGGAAGATATATGACTTTAGACAAGTTAGAGTTACTCAACCTCTTTGAGACTTAGAGTACTCCTCTATAAAACAGGAATCACAATATCTGATCCAGGTAGTTGTGAGGCTCTAGTTAGAAAAGACAGGGTGAGTGTTGACATTGTTTTGCTGTTGTGGTTGTCATTATTAATGAAACCCCTTGGGTGGTTTTCTTTACCAAACAATATGGCCAATTAAAACCCTAGAGACCCATGATGCCATAATTCCCAAGAGTAGCAGATTTCTAAGAAACATTTCAAAGGGTATTACCCAACAACAAAGTAAAAGTACTTGGAAAAAATAAAGTGTATTTGTATGGCAAAATAACCTGAGATTGGGCTACCTCTACACATAAGTAAAATGAATAAAAAAACCAGAACCAAAGATATAGAGCTAAATGTGAAATCTGGTTAATAATTCAGTCCCTAAATTCTCCCTTCCAATAGCATTCCAGGGGTGTGAATCAGAAAACTATCAGACCTAGAAGGGACTGCTAAAATTGAACCCTTGTTTTTTGAATAACCATCTCTCTCCTACTTCATTAGGCCCACGCAGTCAAAGTATGAGAGTCAAATTAACTATGTAACACCAACATATATTCCATAACATATAGAATTTAACCCAAGATTAACTTTAAAAAAGAAAAGAAAATACTAAACCTAGGATCACTTGTATCAGTAAATTTCTCCCAATGGGAAAATTAACTACAAAATGTCAGGCCTTTAATTAGAGGCCTAAAAGTGGCCCAGTACTCTTTAGAAACTCCATGTGGGTGTAAACACCCAAGGTTTTCTACAATTGGCGGCTTTGTTTTCATTAAATAGGACTTTCAGTAGGGCATTTCAGGGCATTTCAGGACATTTCAAATGATACCAGTACAAAATGTAAGCACCAGAGCCAGCAACCATACCTGCCTTTATACCACTCTTCTTGCATGATCCTAGATTAGAATCAACCTCAGACTACTAAAGAAAATATCCTACACTCTTGCGGAGGCAGATGGAGCTAGAGGAGATGATGCTAAGTGAAACAAGCCAGAGGGAAAAACAAATACCTGATGGTGTCATGTATATTTGTAAAATAGAGACCAAGCAAAGGGTGAGATAAAGCCAAACTAAAAACCACCCTAGACAGCGGACAACAGGGAACTGAGGCTGGGGGGAGGGTAGTGAGAACAAAGGGAGGGAGCACAGGGAGAGGACTGCGGGTGCTTTGGTGGTGGGTGCGGTATGGTGCCACCTGAAGGGGGAGATCTTATGCTTCTAAAACACAAACATGGAGGTAAACAAATGTTAGCTCAATTAAAAAAAAAAAAGAAAAATAGATATCCAAGCATTGGAGGGGCTGGGGGTAGACCAGGGGCCTAATTCTGCCCCCTGGCGTCTTGACACTGCCCAAGCAAGAGGGGAGGGTGCCCCTGCAGTGCCTTGGTCTGCACTCTACCCCTGACATTCTGAGGAAAGGGACTACTAGGAAAGGGGTGGAGATGAGCTTCTATTTCGGGAGACTTTAATAGGGAATAATGTTCCTGGATTTGCTCTTTGTTATCTAGAGCTGCTGCAGACAGTATTCCTCCTACTGGAGGGCCTTCAGCCCCCCAAGGAAAGGGGAAGACTCCCCCACCTCAGAAGTAACAGGCCTCTGTCCCACCCTGCTGCCCCAGTGGTAGCAGCAGGTGACTGGACCCATACCAGTAAAGGAGGCTCTAACCCAGTGACAGTTTTTTAAGATATATGTCAAACCACTAACTGTGGTTAAGTCTAGATAAAGAAATTTTAAGTAATATTGGTTTTACTTTTATTTTTTTTTTTTTTTTTTTTTTAAAGATTTATTTATTTATTTATACAAGCACTGGGTACAGTCAGAAGCGCGGGAGGGTGAGAGAATTCACCAGAGCCAGAGCTGGGAGCAGAGCAGGCAGAAGGACCGAAGTACACTGCTGAGGGGAGCAGCGGGCGGCAGGAGAGGTCTGCGCACCATGTGGGACCCGCCTTCGGTGGCCGGGGAGCAGCCGGGGATCGAACCGGCGCTGCAGAGGCTGCGGGCAGCTTCGCAACCCAGCGCTCAACCACTGTGCCACCGGGGAGGCCCGGTTTTACTTTTTAAGTCCATAATTTCTAAATTAGAGATAGCACAATATAGTGGTGTATGGGTCCTGCAATCAGACTGGCTGACTGAATCCCAGCAATAATAAAAATAAAAATTTCTAAGTCACAAAATTCTATAAACAATCAGGCAAATTTAAGATAAATTTTTCTAAGCAAAATGAGGCTATCATAGGAGAGGAAAAAATAATTTTCCCTCCACCCTTCTAAGTTCTTGGCTAAGACACCCCTGTAATAAGACAAATTAGCAGAAGAAAAACAAAAATTTTAAAACATGTATACCTCCTGTATCAATGGGAGAAACACAGGAAAACTGAGTAACTGGCCAAAATAGCCCCTCAGCTAAAGAGAAAGGGCACTAAGGGAGACCGCGAAGGTCAGATACAGAATGGTACCAGGAAAGGCACGATAAACAAGGGTATGGTTGTTAAGAAGGTTGCTGTCTTCTCCACTGATAAGAGATAAACAGATGTGGCTACCTCCACTTACATATTAAGTTATACATAGAAATAACTCTTACAAAAGGGTAACTTCTATTCAGTTTTTAGAGCTTTTCCAATCTGCTGTTTCTCAAAAATAACCAGCCTAAAATAATGCTTATGTCAAAGACTTATTTTGGGGTGGTTCCCCTTCATCACCCACTGCAGAGTTCTCCAAACTATTTCATATAAAAGATCATATCACTAGCACCTTTACAAAATGAAATAAAGCCACAAGATAATTAACAACTAACACTATTTTTTTGGTTTAATTTTTTTAAATTATTTTTTATTTTAACATTGATCATTTTTACATTTTTTAGACAATATTTGCTTCCCCCCACCCCCTCATATAGGGTCCCCATAGAATTTCCTTCTCCAAGGCACCCGTGCACGATCACCACAGTCCTGTGTGCTCCTCCCTCCCTCCCTCTCATCCCTCTCCCTCCTCCTCCCCTGCAGATGTCTCTGGTTTATAATTGTCTGTTTTAACAACTAACACTTTTATAGTATGTTTCATATCACAGGTACTGCCCTTAATCCTTCACATAGAGTAAATAATTTAGAATCCTCATGGTCACCCATCAGGTGCATGAGCCCCTGAGAACATAAATCACACTATCAGTGGTAGATTCAGGATTCAATTCAGGCAGTTTGGTTCCAGAGTTTCGAGATCAGATTACTCAGAAAATTCCCTAATGCCTGAGATAAAAACCTCCTATACCCCCTCTCTACGATTTCATGTATTAGACCCTCAATCAGTGTTTCAATAGGGAATCTGCCTGCCTTACATTCTTAATGTTCATTTCCTCAAATGTTAAAAAATTAAATGATGCTGAGGACAAATGGGAAAAAAAAAAAAAACAAAAACCAAATTCTTACTCCTTTCTTTACAAGGTGGGAGAACAAAAATCTGCCACCACAAAATGGAAAAAGTATTATTTCCTAGGAGGGACTGTGAAGGCTGAGTAGAGGTTGCTCTTGTAAGAGACACTTACATGTGTATAAAGGAAAATCTCTACTTGTAAGGTAGTCTCCTTCACTGTTTAGGGAAGATCTAACCTCAACTCTTACCCATACAGAAGACAGAACTAAATTTGCTTACCAGCTGTGCCTGTTTACTGCTACCTCCCTGAACTGACTTCTTCCTCCCCTGCCCTTTTTCCCCAGTCCTTTGTCTTGGCTGAGGTTAGATAAGATGGTGACCCAAGTGAATAACTCAGTTTTACTAGGTTTCTCCCATGTATACAGAAGAAACACACGTTATTATTAAATTTCCTTTGGTTTTTTTGGTCTCTTTTCTGTGCCCCTACAACAGCAACTCATTTGTTCAGTTTTTGAGAGAAAAAGGGACTTCAAACGTTTAACCCGAAATAACTCTAAATTTGATAAGAGTACCAAAAAGAGATTATATCATGAAATTCAGCTTTTATTTACCCTATATATGTGCAATTCCATCAATATAAGAAAAATGATCTACAAGGAAACAGGAGGTATGGTTGTTATGTTCTCTCACAGTGAATTTACTTTTGTCTAGCAACTAGAATAAAACATAAATCTAACTGCTTCCTGGTCTTTTGGCTAAGATCAAGTGCGATATGTGTTCTTAGCAGTTTACTATCTGATATGTTCTCTACCCAAGGACAGCATTCTAATTGGATTTTTGGATCAAGGAGCTGGAACAGGAGCTTGCTCTATCCACTCCATGCATCAACCTGGTACTGCATGCAGTACCTCTAAGAGTACACTAAACAAGTGAATGAATCTAAAAATTGTAATCAACAGAGAATGTGATTTTGCATACTGTCAAACCTGTGCATATACTTTGCCAAACAGGAAATATGACATAAACACACCTGAGAAGATAAAGTGTGCTTAACAACGGGGATTTGTTCTGAGAAATGTTCATGAGATGATTTTTGCTGGTATACAAATGACATGGTGTAAGAGGAACAGTGAGAGGTAACCTCCCAGGGGGTGGGTGGCACTCACAGCCAACTCAGTGGTAAAAGGTGGAGTTTTCCAGACTCCACCCAACTCCCTGAAAGGGGCTGTTTAGAGCTATGGGCAAAGTGGAGCTGCCAGGTTGACCTTAAAAAAGACTGAATACAGGTTGGTCACTGTATTTTTTGTGGTTTCTGCTTGCACCATGGTCTTGCCTATCTACTGGTAGGACAGATGGCATCCTGCTGTTAGCAGGTGACTGAGAGGTACCCAGGGACCCCAAACAACAGGGTGCACACTCTAAAAAGGGATCCTGCAATTGCTGCATAAAGACAAAGACTCTTTAAAAAAAAAAAAAAGACAAAGACTCTTAGTGTAAAAGAACTTGAATAGAATTAGTGTACACAGAGAGAGAAGATAAGAAAGGATATTAGTGTCCCGATAAAACACCCAAAATTACCCATCCCCTTGTGGATAATGCTCAGCCAAACAAGGTTGGCACAAAATGGATCCACGGAAGGGAGTAAAAGGAGGCAGGCAAGTCTGGGACAAAAGGAGAGACACAAAAATACAAATCAAGATTAACTGCTGCCTTTGTCAGTGTCTCTCACCCATGGGTCTCTCCCAAGTGTCTGTCTCTACGTGTCTCTCCTCCACGTCTTCTTCCATGTCTCCTTCCCAGCATTCCTAGGATGCAAGTCAGGCACAGAAGGAAGAGTTGTCCTTCCTAGAGCCAGCTTCCTTCCACTTATAGAGCTCCATTTGGCTGCTTAGCTTTGCGCATGGTTCCCACTAGCTAGTCAAAGGCAGCTGCACTAAGTGGGGGCAGAGAACATGGCACCTGCCCCCTAACGCTGCCAAAAGCTGGTCAACAAATTTTCTTATCCTTCTGACTCTTTGTGTAACAGTGTAATCAAAAAGAGGAGGTTCCATGTTCCCTGCCCCACCTAATGAAGGGTGGAGCTTGGGAGAGGAGACTTAGAGGAGACACATGGGGTAGAAAGACATGTGAAGAATAAGTTGCGCTTGCTTCTCAGCCTTGGACTTGCACCAGGAGCTCACTTGTGCACTTAAAAAAAAACCCTAGAGCAAGACCCAACTGCAGGCACACATATAAAGGTAATTTACAAAGGGAAATGAAAAGAGGGAGAACCCAGGGAGAGAGATATTAATTGGTGGTTGTGTCCTACTGGAACCGCTGAGCTGGGACCCCAAGGGCATGCTGAAGGCAGGCAAAAACTAGGCCAGCACAAGCCCACAAGTTGGTTTTATACCAAGCCTGGCTGCTTGACTCCACTATTAGCTCCCAGCAATTCTCCCTTCAAGAAGTCAAGAGTCATGGCAGATGCATAGCATTGATGGGATACACAGTCCTCTGACCCCGAGATTTCTCTGGCAGGAGATGAGTGGAATCCATAAAACATCAGTGGGTGGAGTTCATTCAGGACATATTCTTCTCCCAACACTCAGAAGAGAAATGGGTGAGAGACCTGTGGGGAAGCTGACAATGGCAGCCTTTATCATGACTTGTCCTTTGATTTTGCTCTTTTCCTTCCAGACTTGCCTGCCCCTTCTGCCCCTTTCCTATGAGTCCCCACTAGAAGGTGCCTTAGACTTGTGGCAAGTTTTGGGGCCTCCAGTGGCCCTGCTTTGGGCCAACACTTGTTTGGCTGGGCATTCACCCACAGGAGAGAGATAACTTTGGGTGTGTCATTAGAAACTATTATCCTTTCTTCTCTTCTCTCTATGCACACTAATTCTGTTTAAGTTCTCTACTGAAGTTCTCTACTGAAGGTTTTATGCACTAACAGTATGCTTTGTCTTTATGTGCCAGATGGCAGAATCCCTTGAGAGTGTGCAAGTTTGGGGGTCTCAGGATGCCACTCCATCTGCCCACTAACATTAGCTCTTTCATTTTCTCACTCCTGATGTAAACCTGCTTTTGGCCTTGTCTAATATTCTGAAGCACACTGATAGTATAGGTTGCTAAACACCGAGGTTATATGGATGGCATAGCCCACCGACAGCACCTTTGTATATGTAACTAAAACGCCATTTAGCGACACTTGACTATATAGTCTCATGCCAACAGTGTTTCATCCTCATGGCAGATAGATTTATTAGTGACCTCCTTGCACTTCTAGAGTTGGTCCTAAATTAGTAATTCTCTACAATTACCTTACTTTAACTGCCACTAGCAGATTTTCTCCAAAGATAGCATCATCAATTCCTTCCTACTCTATCCCCATGCTGCTCTACCTATGAAGAGTTAAGAATGTATTTCTCTCCCCTTGGATCTGGGCTGACTTTGTGACTTCTAGTGATCACAGTATGTGGCGGAAGAAAGGCCTGGCAGCTTCCACTTTCATTCTTAAAAGCCAGTGAACAGGCTGTAAGGAAATTCAGGATGCCCTACTGGATAGAGTGACCATGTAGAGGTTAATATATGAATACGATATCACCTAGAAAGAGAGAAGTCACATGGAAAACTATCAAGAAAGAATCCACACCAATGAGTTGTACCTTTGTTGCACCTTTTCAGCCCAGCCACTAGCTGAAAGCCAACAAAGAGTGAACCTCAACAGATGTGACCTAGGGCAGGAGAACCATCCAAACAAGTCAAAATTATTGTTTTAAGCCACAAATCTTGAGGTGGCGGTGATACTGTGATTTATAATAAGAAATATATTTGGTCTTCATCCTCATTGCTGGCAGAGTTCCTAAAACCCTTGAAATCACCAAACAGAGGAGTCTTTTGTCTTTTACAAGAGCCCCTTTGGAATTTATGCTAAGGAGATGAATTGGGGTGGTACCACTTGATAGTCTTAGGAAGGGGTGGTCACCAGATATCTAATCACCAAGTGATTAGAGGGTTGGATGTTTCAGCCCCATCCACTGTCCTGAGAAGGAATGGAGTTGGGGGAGCCTGCAGATTTAGCTCTATAAAAACTTTTAAACAAGATTCAATGAAGTTCCCGGTTGGTGAGCACCATTCCAGAAGGATGATGCACCCAGTTTCATGGCGACCTAAGTTTCTATGTTTGGGACCCTTCTAGATCTCACCTTGTGAGCCTCTTCACCTGGCTATTCATCTGTATCTTTTCAAATAAACTGTTAAATGCTGTTTGAGCCATTCTAGCCAAGTAATCATACCCAAGGAAAAGGTCTCAAGAACCTGCTATCTATCAGAGGCATAGGCGACCTGGACAGGTGAAGGCTCTGAAATTGAGCCAGGTCTGTGCATGCATGTGTGCATGTGTGTACACGTACATGTGTGCCTGTGGGATCTGATGCCATCTCTAGTTAGTGTCAGAATTGAGTTAGATTGTGGGAAATGCAGTCACTGCTGAGAATTGGAGACTTGCTTGGTAGTATTAGAAAAAACACACATTAAAGGTTGATTTTGCACAGCAAGAGATAACTAAAACATTATTTAGTGTCATTTTCCTTGTTGGAACTCTTTTTCCTTGTTAGCCTATACACTCTGTGAGGGCAAAAACCATATCTGTCATAGTCCCAATACCTAGCACAGCACCTAGCATAGAATATAATGAGTATGTGTATACATTTTAAAGTTACAAGGAAAACTCAAAACAACCCCCACATTCAAACAGAAACATCTAGATAAAAAAATACATATGGTCAGTTATGGGGTGGTGCTGATGAGTTCAAGGTCATAAATTCAATTTCTATAAGTCAAATCTTTTTTTTTTCCCACATCAGAAGGGTAATGTGCTGATGTCGTAATAAGGTTTAAGGGAGGCACATCTCACACAGCCGCGTGAACACCCAATCATCATGTCTATGAACTGGAAAAGGATCTATAAGTCAAATCTTTAAAAGGAGAAAACCCTTTATCATTATCAACCTAAGTTCAATCTGTCATTTCATTATGCAAATGTCTTTAACCATGAAGCAACACAGTATGCAATGGGTAAATCCATTCCCATCACTACCATGGAGGGCAGAGGAAGAATTTTAAAAAAGACATACATTAGAGATGGAAACAACACTTTTTTAATCCTATTTGAAACAGCATATTTAGAACAAAGTACAGGGGTAGTACATAGTCTCAGAGCAAGGATGAAGTTCTCAAGATATTAAAAATGATATGATTTAATGAGTAAAGGTAAGACTAAGAGGTAAGAAGTTGTCAATGTCTGATTTTTACCACTGAGTTGTTACACAATCTTGGACACTTGCTGAATTTGAAGCTTTCCTCCATGTATAAACTGAAAGTAGTAACACCGTCTTTCTGCCTTCAAGGAGTAATGTCCTTGGAGTATTTGAGAAGAAATGGATTACAAAAAACAAAAATTAAAGGCAGGATTACTAACTGTGAATAACTGGTGTACACAATAAATGGGAGTTCACACAAAGATGTCTGGCACCTACAGTTCTAAGAAAGTGCAAGGAAAACTACAGTGACTAGAAAGCAGAATCAGAGAGTACCTCTAAGCAATCATCAGACCAATTGAAAGCAAATAATTTCATACAATCAATTCCAATACCATAAAAATTATACACAGTCCCTTTGTAAGAAGCAAAAAGTCCAGAAACGAAAGCTAGTTTAATAGATAGAACCTGCACCTCTACTGCAGACATACAGACAGACAAACACACCCTGCTGCCTGACTTGTCCCCTGGTACTACTGGAAAGGAGACACACGGAGGAGAAAGATGAAGAGACACAGGGTGAGAGGCACGCAAGAAGGCTCACAACGGCAGCAGTTATCTTGATTTATATTTTTGTGTCTCCTTTTATCCCAGCTTTCTGGGACCGCTTCAGAATCCCTTTCCTCTGGTTTC